GCCCTCGGACGCCCCGCCCCGCGGTGCAGGGGGGCTGTGCTGTGTCAGACGGCGCCGAGCTTCACCGCGGAGGCCCCGAATTAGTCATTTTGCTGTCATGCTTCCCAGACAGAAACGTGGCAAAAGCAGTTAGTTCATGAACAGAAAAACTCAGGCGTAAGACTCACCAGACATATATGAAAATATTTCCTACCATTCTATGGATTGCCTTTTCACTTTTTATTGGTATCTTTTGCAGCACGAAAGTATTACATTTTGATTAAGTCCAATGTGTCTATATTATCCTTCGTTGCTTGTGCTTTTGGTGTCATATCTAAGAAACCGAGTTCATGAATGTTTACTCCTGTTTACTCTTACGAGCCTTATATTTTTAATTCTTACATTTAGATCTATGATCATTTTGAGTTAATTGTTGTGTGTGTTGTTAGGTGTCCAACTGCAGGTGGTCTGCAGGTGAACGGTGACGCTGAGATGAGCTCGGCAAGCAGGATTGAGTTTAGAGAAGCAGAGGGCTACTGCTCGCTCAGGCGAGTAGCAAAACCTCCGAAGTTCTCATGGCTTTTATTGGGGAGTACAGCAAGTGACAATGGAGTACAGCAAGTGACAATGTTAAACAGGCATGCCTATGAGATCATCTGAGCTAAGTTATACATTAAACTATTAATTAACAGTATTGTTCAAAGACCCTCTCAACCAGCAGCTCTGTTCCTTCCCTTGTTCTTTCCATGCTCTCATGGACTATTTATCACCTCAAGGAAATTCTGCCTCTGAACAATAAATCTTGCATGCAAGACTTTGTTTTGACGCGGCCCGACTATTTATCACCTCAAATAAATTCTGCCTCTGAACAATAAACCTTGCGTGCAAGACTTTGTTCTGGCGTGGCCCGCTTGCAGGCCCCCGTGTGTTCTTGGCAGAACGTTCCTCTTGTAGTTAACTTCTCATTCCACTTGACCGGCTACACCAACTTCATTCAATTACATGTGGATATCCAGTTGTCCCTCAGCGTTTTTTGGAAAGATTATTCCTTCCCCATCAAATTGCATTGGCACCCTTGCTTAGGGGGGGTGTGTGTTGTTCCAGGCAGAGGCGGGACTGGGGTTGGGCTAAATGTAGCTGGGGCGGAGACGCGGGTAAGGTGTGTTAGGCAGGTGGGAAGTCACTGTAATCTCTGACTCTGCGAGGAACTTGCCTGGGAGACTGGGCTCCACCAGAGCGTCCCTGAGATCTTGAGTCCTTTGGAAAGGTAAGTGTGCCCCTAGTTTGTTGTGGCGAGGGCGGAAGACTGGATGGAGCTCTGAAGTAAGGGCGTGGTGGCTTTGACCCCAAACCTCCCCTGTGACAGGCATTTAAATCCTAAACCCATCCTGACCTGCATAGCAGGACCCTAAAGGATTTAACTGGGGAAATGCAACGTTGCCTCATTTGAGGCAGGATGAAGGCGGCTTCAGGGACTCTGCCAGAATTTAGAGGTAAATTTGGACAGGTGTTTATTATTTTTGCTAAGCTGTAGGCAATGGCACATTAAATGGGTAAAATTTGTGGTACCCACATCATATTTTAGTTCATAGTTTACACCAGTGGTTCTCAACCTTGGCTGCACATTAGAATCACCTGGGAATCTTTTTAAAATCCTGATTTCTGGGCCTCATCCTCCGGAAATTCTGTTTCTTTGTTACTAATGTTGTGGCCCCACCCCCTAACAAAGAAACAGAATTTCCGGAGGATGAGGCCCAGAAATCAGGATTTTAAAAAGATTCCCCGGTGATTCTAATGTGCAGCCAAGGTTGAGAACCACCGGTTTACACCCTTACATGAATCCAGTTTTTTAGGAGCTTAGCACCTGTTTTTGCAGAGATATATTGTGATAGTATTGGTTTTAAGTTATATTGGATTTGTTGATACCTGGTAACTCAAGAAACCTCACAATTGTCAAGGAATCTGTAAACCCTTCGGCATATTTTAATCTTTTGGGTCCCCTTATCTAGTCATACACTGATCAGATAATTGTCAGTCAAATAAAATATCTCATGCTCCTTTGTTGGACTCTGGCCCATGATTGGAGATGGTTAAAGTCCAGTGCAAGAGAAAGAGACCAAGAAAGGCATGAGCCCTGCATCTGCCTGATGCTCCCATCACTGTTACTTTCATTTCTCTCAACTGGGAATCTCACCCCCTCTTATTATTTGGAGCAGCCATGAGTCACTTGGAGAATCTTGAGTCTTTTCCACATAAAACCACTGACAATAATGGTGTGATGGATATATGTCATTGCTCTTTAACCAATGCTAATGGAAAGTTGAATACAAAGTGATCAGGAATCATGCTTCCTCTCTGCAGAAGTAAACTAAAATCTTATCTTGAAGTCCAAAATTTTTCTAAACCAATTGCACTCTCAGCTTTAAACAAATGTTAAACATTTTTAGTCATGACCCAAAGATGCATTCATTAACCTCAATTCTTGAAACACAACAGGTTTTACTTTTGTAGGAAAGCTATGAAATGTCAAAAATATCTTATTTTTAGCAGTAACAAGGATGTAAAACCTTATTTCATTCACTTAACAGATAACAAATATCTTTTATTGTCACAGTAAAAAAAAGGGGGGGAGGGTCATGTCGACATAAGAACTTCCAAATCTGTAGAGAATATTTATAAGAGTTTATTTGAGACAAAACTGACTATTGCTGGAGGCAAGATCTCAAGTGCTCCCCAGAATGACAGTTTTCAGGTTTTTTTGCATCTGGGACCAAGGAGGGAATGTAAGGAATATTCAATGAAAGTGGGAGAGAGCAAGTGGGGGATTGGATTACAGGGGAGTTGACTAAACTGTGCCCCTCTTGAGGGTGGTCACACTTCAGGGGTTCTCAAGAATAGGATTAATCTAGCATTTCAAAGGTATGTTAACTTAGACACATAAAAACAATGGACAGGGTTGTGTAAGGCAAAGATAAACCTTTTACTTAAAAAGTTATATCCCTTCCCGTGACTACTGCAGTGACCTGCCCAGTTAGGAGTTTAGGACCCAATCATTCTGTGAGGTTACTTTCTATAGAACCCCATTTTTGTTCACAGACAACTTTAGTAGTTATTGCTGCATACATAACAAATTATCCTAAATTTTAGTGGCTAGAAATAGCAAACATCTGTTATCTCCCAGATGTTCAGGTCAGAAATCCGGGAGTGTCTTACCTGAGTGGTTCCGGCCCAGGGTTTTTCATGAAACTTTAAACAAGGTATTGAACAGGGGTGCAGTCATCTCAAGGCTCACCTAGTTGTTGGCAGACCTCTTAGATCTGCTTCCAAGCTCAGTCATGGCTTCTGCACAGGTTGCCTCCCAGCGTTGAGAGAGGGCAGGCAGGCAGTGATCTCCCAACACATCACTCTGCCATTTCTCTTCACTAGAAGCACACTCCAGGATTGGGGTTACACCAATGCATGATTATCAGGAGGATGTCATTGGAGGCAGCTCAGAGGGGATGATGGAGACACTGGTGCCTTCAGAGCTCTGGGTCTATTGACTTTCATAATGAATTGCAGCCTTGTTGTAATGTAGAAAATCTGAAGAGTAGCAGGAGAGCACATGGGTTGTTCTCTTACAGACTCTATTTTGATAGCAGAAATCATGGTTGTCTTTCTGCAGGCCATGGGGGATCAGGACCTACCAGGGGTTTTGGTGTCTGGATTTGAAGGGCCATCTGGTATATGTAAAGATCATGTTGGAGAGTTGCAGAAATACTTTAATCTCATTACCATGCAAGACCTGCTAGAAAATAAAACACAAGTGGGTCCAAAGATCCAGGCTGCATATATCTGGAACAGAAAGCCAGCTATTGATCAGGAGCTCCTGCAGAGCCTGCCTGCCTTGAAGATTGTTGCCAACGCAGGAGCCGGTTTAGATCACCTGGACCTGAAGCTCATCACCAGCTTTGGTGTTAAGGTGGCCAACACACCGCAGGCTGTTTCCAGTCCCACCGCAGACATGGGGATGGCCTTACTGCTGGCGGCAGCCCGGAGAGTGGTGGAAGGTAAATCATGTTGGAGTTGCTGGTTTTTCTGAGAGATCAGATGGCAGACACTTATTAATACACTAGAGGCCTGATGCATGAAATTCGTGCAGGAGTAGGCCTTTCTTCCCCCAGCTGCTGGCACCGGCTTCCCTCTGGCAACTGGGACCTGGGCTTCCCTTGCAGCCCTGGCTTCATCCGGAAGGTCATCCGGTCTAATTAGCATATGATGCTTTTATTATTATAGATGACAAATATAATTTTACCTTCAAACTTCAAATCCTTTCCTGGCCCTGATTTCTTTACACTGCATCCAGGACTTGGTGGCACTTGGTATTTGGAGCCCCTCCTGGTCATTTGCAGCCCACTTAGTGCCCAGCCCAGTCCCAGGCACAAGTAGTTCAGCAGTCTGTCTGCTGGCAGCCCCACCAAATGCTTCTCACTCACATAACAGGTGGGAAGTGTGTGTGTGCACGCTAATTCAGCACCACTGGGAAATGCCAGGGGGTCATTCGCTGACTGGTCAGCATGCCACCAGGGGGTGAAGGCCTCCATGTGAGTAGGCAGAATCCCATCTGTCCATACACTGGGCATCTCTGGAGGCATCCCCAGGAAAGGCAGGGTAGCTCAACACTCGCCCAACCTCCTGATGGAGCTTTGTTGTGAAGGAGTTGAAGAGAGAGAAGCAAGATGTAGTCTCTTTCTGTTTCTGATGTTGATTCACACACATACATATGCAGTCACCCACACATACTCACAGTCCCACACACAGTCACAAACATATAGTCACATATATACACACAACCATACACACACGTACACAGTCCCACACACACAGTTACATATGTACATACAGTCACACATACACGCAGTCATACACACATAGTCACACATATACAATCACACACACCCCAAAACCAAGTTTTTTCTTTTTTAAAAAATATTTTTTATTGATTTCAGAGAGGAAAGGAGATGGAGAGAGACCTAGAAACATCAATGACGAGAGAGAACCATTGATCGGCTGTCTCCTGCATGGACACCCTGGGGATCGAGCCTGTAACCGGGCATGTTCCCTGACCAGGAATTGAACTGTGACCTCCTGGTTCATAGGCTGATGCTCAACCACTGGGCCCAAAAACAATTTTAACCAGAAATTCTTCCTTGATGTGAAAAGAATTTCTCTTTTAAAGCATTCCACCAGGAAGTGCTGGTTTTGCTATGAGGACACTGCCATTTGTTCCCTTTGATTCCCTGCAGAAACGTTTGCTAGCTGTCACATAAAAATGCATGACAGCCATGGTCTGCCACCAGCATCCTATACCCTTGTGACTTTGGCAAAAGGTCCCAGGAAGGGTTGTGGGTTTCTGTGTGGCACCATCTCCACTCTCCACTGTCTTCTCATGTATCTTAGGTCACCAGTTGGCCACCTCACCAGATACAAAGAACTTTTCCACAAACTGGCTGGGCCAGGAAGTGACGGGGTCCACCCTGGGGATTATCGGCATGGGCAGTATTGGTTACAAGGTCGCTCAGCGGGCCCAGGCATTTGAAATGAACATTCTGTACCACAACAGGAAACGCAGGTGAGATTCAGAGTGGACCTGAGGTGAACGGAGCAGAACGTACACCATCACTGCCTTGAATGTGGCTTGGATGTATGACTCCCCATGTTTCATAAGACTCCCTACTCTTTCTTCCAGAAAGTGGGATTGATTGTCCAGAAAGCGATCATGGTATTATTACGATTACCTAGAAATGTGACTGTGACTTGTTTCCATTAAAAAATTTCACCAGAAAGAGATTTTAACTCACCTATAATTGTTATTTTATTATTATTACTTCTCCAGTGATTTTTGATCATGGGAGATGCAGTCCATAACCACTGAGCAATTTGACTGGTTCCTTTAGTACTGAGCTATATGCTCACCCACTCACTTATTCAATCTGAAAGCCATTTCCTTCAGCCCAACACTCAATCCTATTGATGCTGTCTGTCTCCAAACAACCCTCCAACCAACCCA